CACTGTTAGCATTCTGATTATTTTTCTTTCTATTGTCTTTCCCAGGTATGTATCCTTTTATACCTAGTTGGAATTATAGTATGCATATGCTTTTTATGTCCTGCTTCAGGAAAAAACCGTATGCTCTGTAACATGAATGATTCAACAAGACAAATAGTCAACACATCTGGGTTGATAATGCTATTTAGGGAGCTCTACCACCCTTTGGGAGAAAAAAAACGCTAGAATCCAAGTAGAAAAATATTGAAACATGAATGGGGTTTTCCACAGGGGAAACAAATGGTTAATTGATGTTTATTTTATTTTATTAGAGATGGGGTCTTGCTCTGTGCCCAGGCTGGAGTGCAGTGATACAGCCTTGAACTGGGCTCAAGTGATCCTCCCACCTCATCCTCCTGAGTAGCTGGGACTATACACAGGCACCATCATGTCAAGCCAATTTATTTTATTTATTTTTTGAGATGGAGTCTGTCACTGTCGCCCAGGCTGGAGTGCAGTGATGCAGTTTTGGGTTCAGGCAATTCTCCCACCTCAGCCTCCTGAGTAGCTAAGATTATGGGCACCCGTCACCATGCCTGGCTAATTTTTGTATTTTTAATAGAGATGGGATTTTATCACGTTGGCCAGGCTGCTCTCAAACTCCCGACTTCAAGTGATGGGATTATAGTGTGAGCCACCAAGCCCAGCCATATTTTATTTTTTGTAGAGACAGATCTTGCTGTGTTACCCAGGTTGGCTGTGAACTGGCCTCAAGTGATCTTCCAACCTAGGCCTTCCAAAGCCTGGGGATTACAGGTGTGAGCCACCATGCCTAGCTGAAAAACAGTTAATTAACCATGTAAGATAATAAGTTTCATTATTGAAAGTATTACAAATTAAAGCAGGGATACCATTTCCCTTGATCAACTTAGCAAGGCTTATTTTCTTTTTAATGATCCTATTATTTGTTGGATAGGTTACATGTAAATTGGCATAAATATTCCGGAAAGCAGTTTGGAAACACATCAGGAGCTGTATATTTGTTTACTAATTATATTTTTTCATTTGTAAATATCTTACATCTTTTCCTTCTCATGTGATCTTAATTTTTTCTTTACTCAATTATATTGAGCATTTTCAGTAATAAAGATGACTCTGTGCATCCTATTTACAAATCCCTGTTGTTTGCTTTATTGTTTTAAAGCTTCTAAGTGTTTTATATATTTTTTTAATGCAGTTAGTTTTGTTGATCTGTTCCTTTGTGATTCTGTTATACTCTTAGATTTGACAAGTCATCCTCGCTTAAGAGGTTGTATATGTTCAATTCTGTTTACTTTTGTTTGATTGGTTTAAAAAATATGTAAAGTGTAATACTATCTAGGATGTATTTTGATTCTTATATTGAATCTTTCTCAGCATTTTTAAGTGGATTCTGATATCAACTGATCAATCCTTTCTCCCCCAATTTATTTGTGAAGGCTCCTTTAACATTTATTGTGACACACTATTTCTGGACTGTATTTTCTGAACTATATAATTTCTTTCTATGATCTATTTTCCCTTTTGCCCTCTGTTTTAATTATTTTAGTCTTATAATATTAGTTATAATCTCACCTTTTTTAGAGGTTCTTGCTTACATATTTCCTTAGTTGAACTTTAAAACATTTAATCAAGTTAGAAAAACCAGTGGGGATTTGGGTAGGAGATACATTCAACAATATATAAATTAATTTCTTTAAAAAAAACCAGTGTTTCAATATTTTGACTTGTCATCAAAAGACATGTTATATCTTCAAATCTGCTTTAAAAAATGTCTTTGTGGGCCAGGCATGGTGGCTCATGCCTATAATCATAGCACTTTGGGAAGCCTAGGTGGGCGGATCACTTGAGCTCAGGAATTCAAGACTAGCCTGAGCAACATGGCAAACCCCATCACTACAAAAAATTAAAAAATTAATGGGTTTGATGGCATGTGCCTGTAGTCCCAGCTACCTGGGAAGCTGAGATGGGAGGATCGTTTAAGCCCAGGACTTTGAGGCTGCAGTGAGCCAAGATCACTGCAGTAAGCTGAGATCGTGCCACTGCACTCCTGCCTGGGTGACAGAGCGAGACCCTGTCTCAATAACCAAAACAAAACAAAAACAAGTATCTTTGTGAATTTTTCTACTTTTTAAAAATACTGGTCAGATACATTTTCCATTATGCTTATCTGTCTATATTTTATATTGTTGTTAGGAATAGGATCTTTAAAAACTGTATTTTCTTGCTGGTGCATAGAAATATTATTGCCTTTCTCATGCTTATTTGATTAGTCACTTTGCTGAGACCATTTTAATTTATGTTGTTTGTCAGATGACTGCTTTGGGTCTCTGAGATCATACAGCCATTTCATATGCACCTAAGAATCATTTTGTCTGTTTTCAGTGTCTGCTTTCTGTTTAATTGGCCAGACCTGACTGTTTTCTTTTCTTTCTTTTTCTTTTCCTTTTCTTTCCTTTTTTTCTTTTCTTTTTTCAGACAAGGTCTCACTATCACTCGGGCTGGAGCTCAGAGGCTCACTGCAGCCTCGACCTCCTGGGTTCAAGTGATCCTCCCACCTCAATCCCCCAAGTAGCTGTGACTACAGGCACACACCACAATGCCCAGATAGTTTTAGTTTTTAGCAGGGTCTCACTATGTTGCCCAGGCTGGTCTCAAACTTCTGGGCTCAAACAATCCTTCCACCTCGGTCTCCCAAATTACTACAGACATGAGCCACCACGCCCGGGCTGGCAAGATCTTTCATGATGATACTCAGGGAGACTGGTGATGAAAGGCATCCTTACTTTGCTCTTTGTTTTAAAGGGAAAGCTTCATCTATTACCTTGATGTTGCTCCTGGAATGTATGATGAGATCTGTCTACTCCTACCCAAAGGGGCTGGTGTAATTCACAACGACCCCAACAAAACTTCTTTCCAAGCCCTTCATATGTCTGTCACAAAGCACTAGAGGGCTTCTTGTTTGGAAGCATCACTCTTTCTAGAATCCCCAGCTTGCCCCAAACTCTGAGCCCACAGTGCCTGTTTGCTTTCAGCTCAGCCCTTGCTCTCTCTCTTCTGAAAGCCTGACTTTTGGGAACTTGATCCTCTCCAGCAAAACTTAGCACTCTCTCCTGCCACCCCCACCTGCTGATAGAAGATCTGGTGCTTGACATTGGACAGCCACAGGGCTGAGTTACCAAGTGTAGTCCTGGACTAGAGGAGACATTAACCACATCCCTTATAGGCTGCCTGGCAGAGGACCCCTGTGGACTGTCAGTCATCTGGACTTTGGTCCTTTACCCACCAGTCCCTTTCCCCCCGCCACCAAACTACCTCTGTAAGGTCAACTGGAACCTCTGCCTTGCCTATGAGCCTGCTGGACTTCTGGTACTATGCTCTGGGGTGGAGGGTCTTCCCAATCCACTGGGAAAACAGCACAAAAAGGGGTTAATACAATACAAGGTGAAGAGGTCTCATTTGCATTAGGAGGATCAGCTCCTGGAGCAACTGACTGTTTAGGACAGTCAGAGAAGGCTTCATGGAGGAGATGACATTTGAGCTGGGTCTTGGAGCAAGAGTAGAAGTTCTATGAGGCAGATGAGGGAGAAAGGCTTCATTTGAGATTATTTCCATGCATTTTGCATTATTGTTGCTGTTAGGAATAGAATCTTTTAAAACCATATTTTATTGCTGGCATATAGGAATATTAGTGAGTTTTGCATATTTATTTTGGAGCAATCTTCAAAGGCTTAGAAGCCTGGGAGAGCCAGACCTCTTTGGGGAAAAGGAGAGTTTTCTGAGATAAATGGGGTGGTGCTGTCAGAGTCAGCGAGTGCTGCTGGGGTTCAGGGGTTGGGGGCTGACACTAGCCACAGGGGTGACCCAGAAGACTTCTGGAAGAAATGGGATGGAAGCTGGCCTGGAAGCATAAAGAAGCTTTAGTTTGTGTGGGAAGAGGAGGTAAAGTAGAAGGAGAGGTCAAGTGGAATGCTACAAATATTGTAGCATTCCTGCTAAGTATCTTCTAGGTGCTTTGTTTTTGTTTGTTTTGTTTTGAGATGGAGTCTCGCCCTGTCACCAGGCTGGAGTGCGGTGGCTCCATCTCGGCTCACTGCAACCTCCACCTCCAGGGCTCAAGCAATCCTCCTGCCTCAGCCTCCCGAGTAGCTGGGACTACAGGTGGGCGCTACCACATCCAGCTATTTTTTGTATTTTTAGTAGAGACGGGGTTTTGCCATGTTGGCCAGGATGGTCTTGATCTCTTGATCTCATGATCCTCCCGCCTTGGCCTCCCAAAGTGCTGTGATTACAGGTAGGAGCCACTGCACCTGGCCTAGGTGCTTTGTTAGTCATTATTTTGCTATATTTAATTTTTCCCAACAGTTCTGCTAGGCAGATGATAGTACCTTCATTTTACAGACAAGTGTATATATACCTAGGAGTGACGTGACTGGGTCACGTGGTAACTATGTGCTCCACGTTTAACCATTTGAGGAACTGCCTGACTGTTCTGCACAGCGGCTTTCCGCTGCTTCTTGCCGTTAGTGAGACAGGACTAGGAAGAAGATCAAACACAAAGTCTGTGTGAATTGCCTGTTTTCAAATAAGTAGACTACTGTGAAGCACTCTTTAGACTGATCTTTGCTGTTGAGTCTTTGATGTTCTAAAGGGACTTGTGGATTCTGCAGGGTCTCAAGGGCAGTGCTATGAATGCCGGTGGTCTTGCACCGGCAGACACGATTCCGGCTAGTGGGCTGTGGCAACGGAGACGGTGCTGGTACAAATCCTTAAGTTCAGGGTGTGAGGGAGGGACAGGTGTGAGTGAATGCCTATAAGGAAGTCTCCTGGAAGACGGAGGGCAAGCTCGGAAGCCTGGTCCAGGGGAGACAGGCGGGAGGGCAAGGTGGCTGGAAGGGGGCATGGACGTGGGGCCCATGTGAGTCAAGTTTTTGGGTAGCTGTGGCTGATAACTCTGGTCTGTCTGTGTTCTTTGGCTACAGACCTGGCCGAGTGCAAGCTGGTCTCCTTTCCCACTGGCATCTACAAGGTCCTGCGGAATGTCTCTGGCCAGATCCACCTCATCACCCTGGCTAACAACGAGCTCAAGTCCCTCACCAGCAAGTTCATGACCACGTTCAGTCAGCTCCAAGGTAGGCGCTGGTCAGCTCCAGCGAGGAGGGCATGGCTAGCCCTCATCCTTCAGGCTCTGACCCTGTCTGGGGAGGGTCACAGATCTGGTCCATGGTTAGCGACACCCATGAAGTCATTCCCATGGTAGACTTTGAAAATGGACCTGTGCTCCCCCTGCTAAGGACAATGGGAAGTCATTGAAACCTGCATAAAAATGTTTTAGCTCAAAAAAAAAAAAGGGGGGGGGTGTCTAGGTCACTTCTGCCTCTAGCTGGCTGTGAAGCAGATTGATCAAGGGTCAAGGGTGTGGGTCCTGGAGTGATGCTCTTGTTCTGAACAGACTGACAGGGTGTTTGGGTCTTGAGGCCCCAGGAGTTGTTATTTCTCAGTAGTCTTGAATGAGCTCCCTTCTCACCTTCCCATCTAGCATTGTTCTCCTGTGTTGCTATCAGTTCAGGAGTGACAGATGCCAGGGATGTTGGCATTTTCTGTGCTGGGCATATGCAGAGCACATGGATGTGGTGCTTGGCATGGAGGGGGCCCTCGTAGATGCTCTAGAAATGGTTCCTCTGGATGGACAAGCGGCGTGCCCTGACTGCTGCAATACCTGCCCTCTGCTGCAGAGAGCAGTCCTTCCATCCTTCTACGAGAGGTCACTGCTCTTCAGTGTTGACCCATGTGGCAGAGCTGCAGTGTGGGTACCTTTTGTAGATTTGTGAAAGGGTGGAGTGGGAGAATTGCAGGGGACACAGGAAGCCTATGAGGGGCAGATCCTACTTCATCCCAGACTCACATGGGCCCCACCTCCATGTCCCCTTCCACCCTGCCCACCTTGCCCTCCCGCCTGTCTCCCCTGGACCAGGCTTCAGAGCTTACCCTCTGTTTTCTAGGAGACTTCCTGATAGGCATTCACTCACACCTGTCCCTCCCTCACACCCTGAACTTAAGGATTTGTACCAGCACTGTCTCTGTTGCCACAGCCCACTAGCTGGAATCGTGTCTGCCAGCACAAAACCACCAGCATTCATAGCAGTGCCCTTGAGACCCTGCAGAATCCACAAGTCCCTTTAGAACCATCAAAGACTCAACAGCAAAGATGCAGTCTAAAGAGTGCTTCACAGTAGTCTATTTCTTTGAAAACAGGCAATTCACATAGACTCTGTGGTTTGATCTTCTTGCTAGTCCTGTCATGCTGAAGGCAGGCCTAGTACAAGAAGCAGCTGGGAAGCCACCGTGCAGAACAGTCAGGCGGTTCCTCAAACAGTTAAACACAAAGTGACCGTATGACCCAGTCATTCCACTCCTAGGCATATACCCAAGAGATATAAAAACATACATCCACGTTGCTGGGCATGGTGACTCACGCCTGTAACCCCAGCACTTTGGGAGGCCAAGGTGGGTGGATCACCTGAGATCAGAAGTTCGAGACCAGCCTGGCCAACATGGCGAAACCCTGTCTCTACTAAGAATACAAAAATTAGCTGGGTGTGGTGGCCTCTAATCCTAACTACTGGGGAGGCTGAGGCAAGAGAATCGTTTGAACCTGGGAGGTGGAGGTTGCAGTGAGCTGAGATCGTGCCATTGCACTCCAGCCTGGGTGACAGAGCGAGACTCCATCTCAAAAAAAGCAAAACAAAAACAAACCCATACATTCATGCAAAACACATTACACATGGATATTCATGGCACCATTATTCACCACAGCCTGAAAGCTGGAAAGTGAAAACACCCCAAATGTCCATCAACTGGGAAATGGATCCACAAAATGTTGTCTCCCCATGAAAGGGAATATCATCCAGGATCTGGGAATGCTGTACATGATAGGAATATGAAAGGGGTCTAAGATCCTGTTGAGAGAAAAAAATATATAAAATGCTGATAGTACATGAGGGACCTGAGCAAGCCTATCTCATAGGGCTGACTTCAGGCGGGGCAGGCTTCCTGGAGGAGGTGTGGGCATTGGGCAGGCCAGAAGGGAGAGGGTGGATGAAGTGGCAAACACAGTGAAGGGACAGTGGCTCAGGAGGAAGCTATAGGCAGGACCTGGAAAGGCCACCATGCAAACAGGGCGAGGAGGAGGGATTAGTCCATATAGCTGTTTCTGAGTGAAGCTCACAGAGCTTGTTGCATCTGTGGCTGGAAAGCTAAAATCCCTATGACTTGGGGGACAGGGAGAGGCTCCTAGGGCAAGGATTACTCTGGAACTTTCCAGGCCATGACCGCCTTTCCAGGGCATCTGTGTTAGTCCAAGGGTCCTCTAGTGCTGTACCCAGCCAATTGGGATTGGATGTTTGCTTTCCCAAGGATAGGATGATTGAAAATGGAGGGTGGGGCTGTATGGGGCTCCCGGGAAGGCAGTCAGGACCTTTGGGTAAGAGGAGAAGCTCACTTGTGCTTTTCCTTCATTAGACATTCCCTCAAACACCTGCTTCTCCCAGACCTAGGTTAGGAGGCTCAGAAACCAAGGCCACAAAAGTCTCTCCCTGCGGAGTCCAGGGTTGTAGGACAGATTGTCCTCACTGCTCAGTGCTATGATACGAGTATGGAGAAAATGCTGGAAGGGACAGCTGGGAAGAGGAATGAATTCTTCCTGAGAGTGGCATGGGTAGGGCCTGGCTATGGACGCAAGAGCTTTGAAAGTGCTTGACATTTGGGGACTGCCTTGTGAGATGAATAATTAGGCCCTCTCCAGAAGCTACGGGGGAGGGTGCCAGAGAAATGCCACTTAGCCCATGCATCTGTGGCTGCAGAAATGTATTTACCTAGCACCTCCGGTCAGAAGTCTATTGAAGATGCTGTTTGAACTCCTTCCCTGCCGCCAGTGGCTCTTCACTCCCTCACGCTGCCTCAGATCACAAAGAGAAGGCCAACTGTGCCTGCTAATTGAATTCACAGAGGCAGTGGATTGAAGGATGCAGTGGCTGGCAGGGAGGGGCAGGAGCAGAGCACTCCGTTGGATTCTCCCCCAAACCCTGAGAGATGGCTCTGGGCCTGAGCCTTTATTGTGGTTTCTCTTTCAAATAGAAAAGCTCTCTTCTTTTATGTGTCAAGGGCCTGGCTGAGCTCAGCAGGCCTTCTGTGTCTTCCTCTGGGTACTTGACAGAGGTGGGCTGCCTTGGTGTGGGGCCGGGGAGGGAACAGGCTGCTTCCTCCCTGCCTGCCAAGCTGTCTCCCAGAGCTGCCCTGGGGACTCTTCTGCAAAGCCCAAGGCCCTGGTATGGGTGCGTCATCTCTAGGTGATTCCATTCCCTTGAAGTCCTTCATCCATTTTATGGAAGGAAAAAACAAGATGTGAGAAAGCCAAGGGCACAAATGGAATTGGTCTGATGGCAGGTGCGCCCTGCAGAGAGTGGGTCCCCATGCCCCGCTGTGGCTCTTCTGTCTCTTCTAGTTCCTGTAACCCTGATTCCCATCTTCCTCTAGTCTCAGCTCTTTTTAGTAAATGTGTCCTGGGACTGCCAGGCCAGAGGTGTAGGAGACACCCTTACGGCAATAAACAAAGACCACCCAAATGAGAAAAGCAAAGGCTATTTATTCAGAGCTTGTTATAGCGAAGGAGTCAGCCACCATCACTTGTGTTTCGGCGGCGACTCAAAGGCAGGCAGGCGGAGCCGTAGAGTGGAAAAGGGGAAGGGTACTCTCTGATTGTTGGCATGGGGGAGTTCTAACTAGAGGCGGAGCCTCCTCTGTGATTGACGAGGGTGGCATGATTGGCTTTCTCTGGTTGGTCCTTAATTGGAAGTGGAGACAAAACTCGGGAAGTTATTAGTTAACAATTGACTTCTGGCCATTTGGGACCAGTTGGTACAGGGATTATTGTTTGGATGATTGCGAGAGATGGCCGCCTGGCTTCGGACAAATCTGATGTATGGCAGGCAGACGTCCTGGTCAGTTACTGTAGATCGTGGGTTGTTTCCTGGGCAGGCTTCTGCAGGTTGTGAGTGGAGTTCTGTTTTTATATTTGGCCTGGTCATTGTCTGTTTGTATATTCAGTCTCTCACACCCCTGCCCATCAACTCAGTCCAGCAGATTCCCAGCAGCATCAGTTTCGGCGTGGCTGTGGGGATGCACAGGTGAGTGATAACAGCAGAGCCCAAATTCACAGGGTGCTCAGCTCTCCTGGCTCCATGCTGAGCATTCTCTGTGCATCATGGCATTTAGTCCTGGTAGCACCTGTGGTCATTTGGGAATGATAAGAAAACTGAGAACTTGACATGGCCCTGGAGGAGGCCCTGTCTTGCAGGGGAGGCAGGTTTATGAGCAGACATCACATTGTAATGTGAGGGGTGGTGCAGCAGACATTTGCCCATGGTCTGTGGGTGTCCAGGCGGTGGAATTCAGGTCTGCTTTGGGTGAGTAGGGAATCAGAAAACCTCCAGAGGAAATGGCTAAAAGCAGGGATTTGACAGATAAGTAGGGGTTTATCAGGTAAATAAGGAGTTTCCAAAGCATCTTTTAGTGACAGTGAAAGGTATGTTTGGGAAATAACTGAAAAATGGCACAAGACTGAGTGTTACACAGCAGAGGACTCATGTGTTGTTAGGGACTGGCTGGAGGGAGTCATCTGCCTGATCAGGAACGTCTGGGAAGAGTCCTGGGAGGTTGGAAGGGGATAGGTCATGTGGAAAAGGTAGAGAGAAGCATCCTAGCAGGGAGAGGCAGCGTGAGGCCAGGCTGGGAAGGCACGGAATAGGTAGGGCCTCGAAACCAAGTCATAAGGGAGGTGTGAGCTCCTTCTGCCCTCCAAAGCGATGAGTTCCCTCGCTGGAGAGCCTGGGCCTGGGCCAGGAAGCCGGAGGCTGCTGCTGGGGCTGCTGCAGGCACTGGGGGGCTTTGACTGGCCAGGAGCAGGCATGTGGGCTTGGGCAGACTGGGGGGCGGGCTGCTCGGGTGTGCTGGCATTAGGTCTCCATGGAGACTTGCTGACCCTAAGACCCTGCATCTGGGGGTAACACAGCCTGGCAGAGCTGGGCCCAGAGGGCTTGTGAGTCCCTCTGTTCCTCAGGCCATGCCATCACAG